CAACACTCCATGTGTCTGAAACAAAAAGGGTCCATATCTATGGCCTTGTGATCACTATAGTTATAGCTGAAAAAAAAAAAAAAAAAAAAAACCGTAAATTATACAGCTAAGTACTCACGCACAAAATGTTTGATATTTGCTTTCATACTGTTTTCTTTGTTTTTTTTTTTTTTTTTCCCTCACATAAAACAGTAACTATTAGTGTCTTCTCGCCCACTATTCCTTTCGTTATTTTAAAAATCCCGAGGCCTATTGATGTAACGCGTGGGAGCTTCAACATGGATCAACCTGTTAATCGGTTGAACACTTCTGGTTAGGCGGACAACGAACATACCAAATTCGAAAATGGAAAACAAGGTAGATTATAAGTTACCCGTTTTGAAGTTTATTTCTCGTTTTATTATTTCTTGTTTGACTATTGTTATTTCAACATTTTAGAATAACTTCGGCCTAATTCGCTTCTCGGGTTTGAGTTTTTAATTTGAGCTGAGATGTGATATTTTCTGAGAGCTTTTAACTGCAGTAAAAAAAGTTAGATGTGATATTTTCTGAGAGCTTTTAACTGTAGAAATCTAAAACTAAAAATTCAAATCAGTAAAATGATACATTACTTTCCTTTAGTTTAATTTCCGTTTCCTTTTGATTAATTTCTGAATTTAGAATTGGGTTTGTTTCCTTTATTTTGTTTTTGAATTTTCTATTTAAAGAGGGTTTGTAGGATTGTTATTTTAAGTTTTTAATGTAATAATTTTTTTTAGAGGCTATCTTGGTATTTCTTACAATCAACAAGTGATTGATACATATTTTCCTGACATTCGTGAACGAATCAACAGGTTATAGAAGTCTTATTTTTTATATTTCAATTGAATATAAATGAATCTTCCAATAATATTCTAGGTGATCAACAAATCTTCTAATATTCTAGGTGAATCAACAGATTTTAGAAATTTATCTCTTTACTATTTTTCTCATTCTTCCGCTACATTACCTATCAATGGAACGGAGAAGATACATCTAACGCCGCACAACACATTAGTTAAATATGGATCCTAAAATGGGTTTGTAAAGTATCGAACTTTTGAATGATTTTGAGAGGAAAAAAAAGAAAGATATGTCTACTGTTGCACCCACACGTCGTTTTTTGTTGTTGTTGTAGTAGCGTTTGGAATTGGCATGGCTTTAGGACGAGGGAGAGTTTTTGAACAAACCAAGATAAATACTAATACCCCTTTTTCTCCTCTAATGAAGCCGAACTTAAGCCCAATGACAGGTCACACTGTGTCTGTGAGAATGACCCATGATTCTGTACTGTTATATCATCATTTTTGGATCTTTGTTACACGTTTTTGGGTAGATACGTACCACTATATACTATTTGGTTTAGTTGGTAAACACATTTTATTAGCTAAAATAAGTGACCTAATTAGTTATTGTCATATTCTGTGTAAGTTAGGCTCTAGCTAGGTGGGTTCCACGAAAATTCAAAACATTTAGGGACTAGAGTGAGGACCAAAGTGGAACTTTTTATTTAGCAGGCTCTCTTTTTTTTTTTTTTTTTTGATAATTATTTAGTAGGCTGTTCTTCTCTCTCATATTTGTAGCTAAATGGATTATTGTAAGGTAATTTTGACAAATATCCTTTAAAAATGTATGGATTAAAATTTTTATTTTTTACTTTTGATTCATAACTTTTTTAGTCAAATAATTACATTAAAAAAGAAATTTTTATTAAAAATAAAGAGTAAAAGTCCATCCACACATAAATTTTCCATATTTTCATTATTGTAGCGTACACAAATATTGCTAACACACCTATTTCTAACATCTGGCTTAGGTTAGCCTAAACTGGGCCACATTGGGCCGGGTTTGCAAATATTTCAAAATGGGCTACCCACCTAGCAATATTTCAAAATGGGCTACCCATATTACGTAGATGAATGTGAAGCGAACGGTACAGCAAATTTAGTGGTGGGTTTGTGTAATGCCACTTTTGGCAAATTGTACCGTGTAATCCCTATTTTTCTCCACCGGTGGATCGCTACATTTTTAACCATTGAATTAGTTTTCAATAGTTAAATTTGTATAGGTCTGTATTAAAAATTTATAGCGCGTTACAGAATCGTTCATGTTGTGGAGTAGGTCTGTATTAAAAATTTATAGCGCGTTATACAAAACTACTCATGTTTTAGATTTGACCGTTAAAAAATTAATTCAACAGTAAATATGTAGTGCTCCACCGGTGGAGCCAAATTGAGGGTCGCACCGTAAAGGTTCCCGCCACTTTTATATGGTTGGTTTTCAAAAACAAACATCCAGAAAAAAGTATCTAAATTATGTTTTTAGAAAATAAAAAGACAAAAAATATCTCTTCAAATATCTTTTAGGATTTCTGTTTTTCACTCCGTCTTTTATCCTTTCACTCTTCACCCGAATCAAAGATCTATTGTTCTATTTTTCTCTCTCACTAACTGTCCCTTGAATCAAATTTTCACACCTCATATTTAATCTTTAGTTTCAATTTATCTGGTCAAGTTATTAAATTTAGATGATACGATGAATTAGTGGTATAGGGATAATGGGATAGAAAAATGAAAACAACAAATCCGCTTCTCCCCTTGCCACCACACAACTCCAGTCGATGCGGCCGTGCACAACGCGATCTGTAATCTGTAATCTCACGGGACCTAGGAACTGTGGAACACTTGTGATCTTGGAAGTTTGTTTGTTGTAAATTCATCATGAATACATGTGGAAAAATAACACTTGTGATCTTGGAAATGTGGTGACTCTCTGTTGCTTAAAACATTTTTCTCTCCAATAAGTTTCAGGATAACATTTCATTGATAAGAGGAATATAACCAAAAATGTAACTAGAGGACTCAAGAGTACTGTAATTCATTCAATTATATACAGGCATGCTGAAAATATAAGTCTACGCTATAGCTACACATAATTAATTACCTACAAATATTTTTGTTATGGGAATTTACCTCCGCATGTAATTAAGCAATAACCTTGTTTTCAGCTTCACGTACACATAATTAAGCAACTTTTTATTCTTCGTTTCGCAGCTATATATAGTAATGCGACAAAGGGAAGACTAATTCATTTACTTTTTGGCTAGGTTTTAAATATTTGAGAAGGTGTTATAAATGGATGGATATCAATGACTAAAGACGGAGTGTAATAAAACATAACATGGAGCGAGAAATATTGTTTATCGTGTAGTAAGGAAAAAAATACGTAGTTTATCATGATTTTGTGCATAAACCCGTTCAGCGGTAACAATTAATTAACTATAAAAGAACATTTATATACTCAATTAAGATAAAAAAGTATAAGCTAGCTAGATTTTGGAATCTAGATCTTCTGTTTTGGGCGGGTCAGAGACACAATAATGTTTAAGGCCATTGTATTGTTGATTTTGCTTAATAAGCAAGAAATTAAGAAATCTTTTATCATTATTTTATGTTTGTTTCCTGTCCGAAGTTGAGCTACATATAACTTGCTTCGCAGATGAATATCACTGTCTCTGGATAAGCAACTACAAATAAACAACTATATCAGTTACAAAACACACATTAACATACAAAATGATGTCAGAGAAATCGTGATATATCCATGTGAAAATTAACAGTACCATTATATAATATGACTTGAAATGAACACTATTTTCTACTTATAAATGCATGCAGGGAGACATGAAATAGTACTTACATCAAATGCGTGAGAGATCATCAGAACGATCGTATATACAATTCAAGTGCGCTAGAAATCTTTCTACCAGGAAAATGAGCCTGATAATATCTTACATATCAGAAATTTTCTACTGTGAAGCATGTAATAAACACAAGATCGCAATTAATAATGAGAAATATGTATTTGGACTCGTAAAAAACAAACTTTCATTGCTCATCTTGTTGCATAAACTCTATTATATATATATATATATAGGTTAATTATTGTTTTTTTTTTCTTTTCAATTATTCATAATGTGTTGCATAAATGAAACCAATGTGTTTAATTCCAGTTGTTTTTGTTCACCCCTTCTGTAGGGTTGTTGCTTAGTTAATTTTTTTTTCTCTTTTTTTTTTTCTTTTGTTTTGTTTGTCTTTGTGGCTAAATTTTGAACTTCTTTAATTTTTTTTTTCTTTTTAATCTTTTTAATAAATCAAAGCGAGGGCTTGTTTGAGTTGCTAATTAGTGAATATCAAGCTAATTAGATTGTGCTAAGTTTCTCTCTTGATTCATATCTGTGGTGGCCATTTACCAAATAAATAAATAAACTGTTGATTATAGGATACTAGCACATGCATATCAGTAGAGTCGGTAATTTTAAATGATCTCATAGGCATATTGGACTCGCGGGTAACATTTGCAAAAAGAATTTTGTAAATTCAACATTTGCAACCACAAATATGTAGGTTTCAATTAATTTTCTAGCTATTTCATTAATAAAGTCACATACACACACACACACATATTAATGACAGGATCATATGTGTAATATAGTATAAAATATCATGCATGGTGTACTATTTTTAGTACAATCGAAACACTAAAAAACTCGTCACAAATGTACTTCGCTTGTGTTAAATTAGATAAAAATTCTTCCACTTATATATGTAAAAAGAAAAAAGAATACAATTAATATTCCAAGAAAAGTATTACTGATCATATATACCATCGACAAAAGCCTTACGTTAGCCTTGATAAACACAATTAATGCAGTCAATAGTATACTACTAATTATAATTAAGTCATCTCTCCACATGTAACAGCCATAATATGTCTCCCACATTGGCTAGCATATATCCTTTCTCTCTGCATTCCTAGATAAGCATTAATGATCACCAAATTCTCTCTTGATCTTTCTGAAAAAGAAGCTATATATAACTTAGCTAAAAAGCACTATAAACCCTAAACATGCATATCTGTTTAATATATATTTATGCATCTTTTGGTCAATATATGATATGATAATTTAACATACGTTTGGATCATCCATGGCCAAGTCGAAGCTCCAAATCAACTTCATCATCAAGTACTACCGATCGCCTGGCTCTGTGATCCTCCAAATCCGATGTGTCGATTTGCAAGCTCAAATTAGCACCCATGAGTTCTTCGTTCATGTTCAAATTCCGGGTCGTCGTCGAGGATGCCATCGAAGAAAACGGATTGTAGTGATCACCTTCATAATTGGAATAGTAACCGGATGTAGGGCTAAAGTGCATGTTTTGGTGATAGTTTCTCTCGTGAGCTGGCTGGTACCAAGCGGGAAATTGGCTTGAAAATGGCACTGAAGTAGTAGTAGTACTAAAATGATGAGAACCCGCAATCGATATTTCTTCGTTTTGGTGGTAATTCGAATGCGAAGAAACCGCCGTGTTGTGTACTGCTTGCTGCTTGGTTTTGGCCCGATCCTTGCGGTGGATGTTCATGTGGCCTCCCAAGGCCTGCGCGTTCGTGAATCCGCGCTTGCAATACGTGCACTCATAGCTCCGTTTAGCCCCCGAAACTTCGTTGACTCGTTCCGTCTGATCGTTTTCTTCGCTTGACGTCTCCGAGCAAGTACTAATTAGTCCTTGCTTTCCAGATTCCATGTGTGACTAGCAATTTTGGATCAAGATTTGAAAGATATATAACCTGGGAGAGAAGAAAAATAATCACTGTGGTTTGAGAGAGAGAGAGAGAGAGAAGAATGGTTAAGGAATAAGTTGGGATTTTATGTAGGCAAAGATTAGGGGTATGAAAGATAGAAGATGAAGACAATTATATAGAAGACAATGGTAATAGTACAATTGTGGCATTAATATAGTGGATCATTTGTTTAATGTATTAATTCAAAAAAGAACACAATTTTGGCCTATCCTGACGACTCTTTCCGTTTAGCCGGCTCTTAAAACGGTGGATCTTTTCTTAAACTCGTTCAATATAATAAATATATATATCGCTTTTAATTAACTCTCTCTAATCAACTCATTCTTTTTCCATTAATTTCCGTAATTTGTTTGGGATGATCTTCAGCAGTAGCTCATGTAGCTTTCCTGATCTTTAGTACTTGACGCGGTTGATAATTATATATATTACTTAATTTTCATACATCTCTTACAGCAACAGCTATATATATATATATATATATATTGCAATATCTCTTTCATATCCTTCAAAGGAATTTTTTCGTAACTCACCGAGCTGATATTTTGCTGCTAATATTAGTAATATGCAGCTCATAATTATTCCACATGCCACTCTATTTGATTATATAAGACTAAATATATACACAAAATTTTGCGTTCACACTACAAGGAAACTAGTACACAAGGATTGGTTATATATGTAGCTATAGCTTTTAGTTCATAACATCTTTGAAGTATTTTTTCTCTCTGATCATACCATCTTTTTAAGTGTGAACAAAATCTCACATAATTAATACGCACATTGCCGTAGAAGTAATGAACACGCACAAAACCTTTTCCTAGCCAAAATTTGCATGTTTCCCTATTTGTGGTTAATTTGCTTTTTCAAGGGAGAGTAATATAAATTAAACCCACTTAGTAGAGTTGATAATTATGGTCCAAATATTAATTAAGGTCCTACGTATATATATATATATATATACAATCTATGTAACCATTTAAAGCATGAGCTAATTAATCCAAATATGCCTCTAATCTATAATCTATTGCAAAATAGGGGAGGGAGCAGTTTAAAAGGAATAAAATGAGAGTAACCCCAAAAGGTTATTGTATTGAAAATTTTATGTTTCTCAAATACCATATATATGTCCCCTAGTGCAGTAGTAGTTATCTAGTTTTGTTCTCATTTGATTGAAGACGGCCAAGAAACGCGCTTTTTTTTTTTTTTTTTTTTTTTTTTTTTTTTTTTTTTTTTGCAGTGGAATTCCGATAATACTTTTGGTTTTGACCACGCATATCTCTCAATGATATCAGTGCTTACTAGGAGACGGCTAATTCCATGTGATTTATTTAAACAAAGTACTTCATCCCAAGAACTGTATAAGAAAACAACATTAGTCTTGGACAAATGGAAGATGCATGCGCGTCAGTGACAACAACGTAAGTGCTGTATTTCTGCTAGCTTGCATTTGCCTGTTCATTTTAAACTCTTCTATAGTATGTAGAAAACTTTTGAGATTTTTTTTTTTTTTTTTTTAATTGGTACATACAAACTAACCAAAAAAAAAAAAAAAAAAGAACTGAATGAAGATGGTCAGGGGAGTCAAAAAGAAAAATGGGCCAAGGGAGTATGTACTTTTGGGCCATAAGCCCAACAAATTGCTTATTCCAAGGAACCTACTAAACAAAAGGAAGAAGGATGGAAATAGAATACTTGAAAAGATGTTTATTTTGAAAAATTTTATTTTGATTCTTTCTATTATATTAAAATTTGAGTTTAATATTGTATGTTTTTGAAAATTTTATGTTGGTATCTCAATTTTTTAAAAAATATTTTTTTAATATCTCAGAGTTATTTTTTGAGACACAAAAAGATAAAATTATCATTATTATAAAAATTTAGTTGACTAGAATTTTGAAGGGGAACAAAAAGAATGTGAAGAGATGAATTTTTAAAACGGGATTATGCTCTATAGGCATCACAATTTTTAAAATTCTTTTTACTATAAAATTTTTGGTCAATCGATGAATTTTTATAATAAGGGTAATTTTATATTTTTGTGTTTCAAAAATGACTCTGAGATACCAAAAAATAAATTTTCTAAAAACTCGAGGTACTAGCATAAAATTTTTAAAAATATAAGGTATCAAACTCAAATTTCGATATAATGAAATTTTGTCCTAATAAAGAGATGTAATACAAGGCAGTTGTTAAAATATAATAGTAGTTAGGATAATTTACAGAAATGATCCCCAATTTCTTTAATAAGTGACAGTTTAATCTATAATTTTTTTTTAGCGAAACAATCCCAAATCTCTTTAAACGGTACAATTTAATCATTTCTGTTAAATTTTTAACAAATTTTCGTAAGTGAGCATCGCGTGCCTTCTTTTTTCAATTAAAAAACAAAAATGCGCTAAGGCCTTCTTCTTCCTCAGCTTCCCCAGAAATGAAGAAAATTACAGCTCCACATAAACTTTTATTTTTACAATTTTACCCCTCCATCTTTTCTTTTTGTTTTTTCTTTCTTCTTTTACGTTTTATTCTCAGATCTCTCTCTCTCCTCTCAGCCTTGATAATCTCTCTCTCTCACCAGCTCCAACCAGATCATCAGATGTCGACGACGACGACGCGACATGAACCACCTCCGAGATCTCCTCCTGGAGTCGCCGACGAGACGCGATCCGAACCTTCTCCGATATCTCCTCTGGCAGTGACAACCTCCAATCCTCTTTTTCCAGATCCGACCGTCGCGACCAGATCGGCCCTCTCTCTCTCTCAATTTCTAGCGATTCCGGCGAAGTTCATTCCTCTAAAACCAGATCCGTCGTGGTTCCTTCAAGATTCCGGTCTGAAGCGCGACATTCCTAATTGCTATGTCTCCGATTTCTCGTCGCGATCTTCTTCAACTCCGGTCGCGATCTACGTCGCGATCATCTCCTTTCGATCATCGTCATTGCGATTGATCTGAAAAAGCGGCCGCCGCTCGATTTTTTCTTTTGTCTGGGTGTGTTGCTTTAGTTGCAGGTTTGACATCATGACGGTCATAGTTTGTTCACGACGGCGGTGGTTTACTCGTTGTCACTCTGGTCGACGACGAGGACTGTGCGGATGTGCGGTCGGCAAATTCAAGTTTTTGGCGGTGACGAGAACAAACTTTGACGGCGACTCAGGTTGGCGGCGGTGGAGGTATCTGCAAATTTTTAGATCTAGAGTTAGGGTGTCAATTTGATTTTTTGTTAGAGAGAGAGAGCTCGCCGGTATTTCTTCTTTTTTTAATTAAAAGATAAAAATACCCTTAGGGCATTTTTGTCATTTAATTGAAAAAAGGCATATGATATTCACATGTAAAAATCTGTTAAAAATTTTACAAAATTTAAGAGAAAAAATTAGATTGTACTGTTTAAAAAATTTGGAGTTGTTTTGTTAAAAAAATGTAAGAATTAAATTGTCATTTATTAAAAAAATTGAGAATTATTTGTATACATTATCTTTGTAGATCTTGTTTATTTTGTGAATTTAAATTTTTAATTTGAGTTAAAATGTTATATTTTTAAAAAAATTTTATTATAATAAAAAAATTAAATATAATTTTTTTTTTAAATTTTTTATTATAAAAATTTAAAATTTAAAATTTAAATTAATAAAATGATTGAAGTAGTAAATACCAGTACTCTTTTAAAAAACTGGAGTAAGAGATAGAAAGAGAGAGATATGGGTGGGCGGCAGCTATAGAGAAAGAGATAGGAGGGAGAAAAAGAGGGTTTGACAGCAATCTCCTTTTTCGGTGACGTTGACATTGCCAGCGACGCCATTCCCCTGTTTTACAACTGAGAGGGAATGTTGGGAGAGAAGTGGCCGGAAGAAATTGGGGGACAGGGTTATTTCGGGAATTTAAGAAATTTAGGGCTTGTTCTTTTAGAGTTTAACTTGAGTATCTTGAGTTAAATTTGAGTTATAATTTGAGTTAAACTTGTAACTTGAGTTTGTGTTTAGTTGTATATATTTGAGTTATAGTTTGAGATAAGAATCTTTTTGAATTTGTGTTTGAGTGAGTCAAAACTTGAATTTGTATTTAGATAGTATTTTAATAAAAACTCAATGTTGATGAAAAATTTTAATAGGGCATATGGGTCGGGTTTTATTTGTCTTTTCGTTGTCAACGCATAGAAAAAAAATCATCTCAATCAGAATTAAAACGAAAAAGTTATAACATTTTTAAGAATAGAAAAAATACTATTCATTAATTTGAGTTCGAGTTTCTGAACTCGAGTTTAAGGGGAAACTTGAACTCGAGTTTTAGTCCTAAACTTGAGTTTAAACTCGAATTTAAACTTAAAAGAACATGAACTCAAATAAAGTTGTAACTCGAGTTGCCTTTTTTAAAATTTTTCACTCAAACGAACAAGCTCTTAATCTCAAAATCTTCTATTAATTTTCTCTCTCTAAGGTTTTGCTATTAATTTTTATTCTTTTCTTAAAATCTACTATTTTCTTACTTCCTCTTTTAGTAAATTATAGCCTAGTTTTTTAAAATGTGTAGTCTATAACATAATTTAATATCTTAGATTTCCAATAATATTTAAAACCCAAAGTTATCCCGTAATCATGTCTCTCCTTTCTCGCTCTTGTTAGGTCCACCATGACATGTGTCAGCGACTGGCGGCCAAGTTGGCAATTGGAGACCGACAACTGTGACTGATGATGTGTAAATATCCTATCTATTAATAAATATCGTATTTACTCAAAAAGACTATATTGTTCTGAAAATCTAGCAACCGGATCTGGCGACTGTTAAATACTATATTACCATATTTATTTGAAAATTTGAAATTCTAGCCACTGACGTCGACAATCAGTAAATATCATATTTATTTAAAAATTCAACCGATGGCGCCGACAATTAGTTAATGTCATATTTACTCATAAATACAATGTTCACTAGAAATACAATATTTACCTG